TTTCATGGACCCTTGCAATCTCTTCCTTAAGCCTGCTAAGATGAAGATATCAGTAAAGATAAAGAATCTCCTGAAACTCATCACTACAGAAAGAAAACAGAACATTTCTACTGACGTGTCTAACAGAAAAGAGGCTCGAAGACTATTAGATGTGGTTTCCAGTGTGGAATCTCATTTAAGACAACCCTCTTTGCTAGAGTTGACAATATATAGACACAAGACACTAAACGTAACTAAAACAATCCAAGAATGAAACCTGCAGTAGGATTTCAGATCAGCACTGTATCACATAAATATCACCACAATAAACATATTCATACTCAGCCATAAACAAAAATAGTAGTCTAGGAGAGAAGTCAATACAATATATTGTTGTACATCCCCAGACAGTATCTGTTGATGAGCATTGGAATGAATGTCTAATTTCAAAGAATTTCCAGTCAACAAATCATAATTTTAGCAAAAACACAATGAAGCAGCTATGAGTATCAGTGATCTTGTCAAATCTAAACAGTAAACACATCTTGGCTTGGTAAGGGTCCAAGACAATGGATTCCCCATGAAGTTACAAAAAACATGTAGCAACCAGTAAACAAATGATTTTGTCTTCCTTAAATAGGTGTGTATTATTGATACTGGCAAATTAACATCCGGAAATCTGCTCAGGTGTGCAATCCTAAAGTTCAATTCACGTAAAGTTCCAGTCAGAATAGAACCACTGATACAGAAAACATTTATCTGCACATTATTTTTATAGCAGTCATATCTAACACAAAGACTTCATAAGTCATGCAGTACATGACATTCCTTTAAATTTTGTATAATTAACATCTTCAATTTGATAGACAATCAAATTGAATGCTTCTCATTCAGTTCTTTCATTAAACATTGCAATCACAGCAGACTCCATTTTGGTGCCATCTTTTGCGTCTTACGTATTACGAAAAAACAACAAAACAAGAATTAAATTCTTCAGTGGTATTTCAAATTAAGAAATATACTGTATGAATTCTAATTCAGTTGAATTGATCAAGTTTTCAATTAACTGACCTTAAACAATAATTATGCAAATTTTAGTTGAAGACAAGTGTTTTTTTTTTTTTTTTTTTTTTTTTTTTTTTAAATATGTACCATGACCTTCTTTCCTGGCTTTCAATTGATTTTGTGCACACACCAAAAAATTGAAATGCTCGATTTCTTTGCCATACTATTGAATTGAAAAACCATGCATGGTCAGAGAATATATTGACAAACCTTCTATGCTAAATGGAGAAAAGTTTGTTTGCCTATATTAGGGTCATCCAGGGCAGTTATGCTTTTAAATGCTGCATTTTAAGAGTTAAATATATCCTTGAATGCATGCAGCTGCAATTTTCTTAACTTTAAAGATTTGCTTATGATGTTGGTGCAAATTAACCAACACAACTTTTTCTCTGTATAAAACTGTAATGTTAATGTTGCAATTTGCTACATTTCCATTATCCAAAAAATGATGCTGATCTCTCCTAAAGCCAAAAGATGCCAAAATTCGCAGAAGGAGCACCCCCAATTCTGAATTTGTTATTACTTTTTATTATAAGAATTTTATTTTCACATAATCACCCGAGGTCATCTGATCATGAAAACTTCATTCTCAAGTATACCTGTATTACTAAGATTATCTATCAAAATTCATGAGATTTTTCTCACTAATAACTTTTTTGCCCAAAAAATATGCAATAAAACTTTTGTGATCTATAGTGAGAATGCTTGTCATTTAATGTTTTAAAGTCATTAAAAGGTCTCACGAATAAGCTGAACATCTTTATCATGTCCATTATACATGTTATATTGCATTTCGATTTGAATACAGTAAATAAGGTTGCAAACATGCTTATAATGAATTTACTAGGGGTGCAACGATACACTAACCTCACGATACGATACGTATCACGGTATTCAGTTCACGATACGATACGTATCACGATACATGACAAGGTTAAAAAGTCTTTCAAGTTTGTCATCATATTTTTTAAAACTTGACAGGGTTATACAAAATGTTCATATTTTTTAATAATAATTAAAATAACATTTTGTTAACTTGAATTGGATTGTTAGGTAGATCTTTGAGTTGTGACAACATTCTAAACCAATGATGAACATTTACAGGGAACTACGGGGACCTCTCCTAATAATCTTTCTTTTAAATTGGAATGAAAAAGGAAGACATTCATTCTTTTATTCCTTTTATTTACGTAGAAAACCAGTTGTCATATTTCTTGTGTTAATACGTTTTAGTCCACAAGACAGCGAATTTTCATCGAAATACACACGTGATGGAATATCGTGTATTACCAAAGAATACCTTTAAAGATCTAAAGGGATTATCATTTGTCTTAACATCTATAACTTATAATCACATTAAGTCCTTCTCCGTGTTAATTCTGAGGTCTGTAAGATGCTGGAGATGAGTTTAACTGCCATAAATGCGTTATCTGCGACCTCACGTTTTGCGCGGAAGCCATTTTGAAATAGTAAAGAAGGAAATAAAACGGACAAAACGGATAATTCTGGACCGATTGAAGCGAACCGCGATATCAGTTTAGCGTATCGTGAATTGAACCGTGGAAAAATATACCGTGATATACCGTCAAATGGTTTATCGTTGCACCCTTAGAATTTACGCTTACAATGAGATGAAAAATTTCTCGTAGTTTGAACTTATTGGAAATCACGAATCATGGATCAAAATTCATCCCTGGTGCTTCTTTATAAAATCGAGTGTTTTACTTTACTAAAATCAACATCCAAGCAAAAACTGATCTGTAGTTTGATATTTTATATATATATATATATATATATATATATATATATATATATATATATATATATATATATATATATATATATATATATAATATATATACACACAGCTTTTAACCCTTATGTAACCCCAAAAATAATTCAATGACAGAGTTCTTACACAGAGTCTTAAAAAGTATGAAAACCAAAGTGGGGTGTGCAGACATCCCCTAGCTTTTATTTCAAATGAAAAAAAAAAAGCAAATTCACTGGCAGGGGACACAAAAAAGACTTCAATAATTATATTGTGGACACCATTTTTCTATCCATGAGTGACATATTAACTTTGTTATCTCATCCAGTATTCCTTTATGTGTAGCTGTTAGGCTCAGTCCTACTCTAAAGATAGTAGTGAATTAATGAGGTCTCTGACCAATATATATCTAAGATCCTGCCAGTCTGTTAATTGAATCAGGGGAAAGCTGAATTGCCTTGATTTCTTCTTAGAATAGAATACCCTTATTTGAATTCTATACTCGTGTTGCTTTATATATCAAGTCTTATTGTGTTTGGTAAAAAAAATCTATACCAGGTCCTACATGAAGCCCTTTAGTTACATGGTGTATCATACTGATGGTAATCTATATGGCCTGGTGTCAGTAATATAATTAAAGATTAACATTTTTTTCTTTGAGCACTGAGATGGCACTAAAGATTAAGTAAGCTGCAACACTGGAAAACATGTTGAACTAGAAAATAAAATCATTATACAGAGAAATAATAAATATCTCTTAAAACTAATAAGCATTTACAATATGACACCATATGTTAATTAGCTCTTAAACATCCAATGTGAAATACAGTACTGTAGACACTTTGGTTAAGTTTATGTCACATCCTTATATCAACAGAAAATCTTATACTGACCATCAGAAAAAAAACAACAACACAGAATTAACACAGTAAAATTCAACTTGATTGACTTTGACCTTTGAGTTTTAACACTACACTTTGGTCAAGGTTATAACCTGAATACCTTTTAAACCACATACACTTGTATCTGTCATGTGAAAATATGTTAAGTCATTAAGGCTGTCAAGTGAATTCTTGTTAATCTGAGTGGAGAAATGGACAGTCAAAAAAGCCTGTACATGATTGAGATTAAAAAGTCAAATTATTTAGATTTTGTGTATATATTCACACATTTTTATCTAGTTAAATACAGGTAGTCTATCATATCTCACAACTTGTACTTCAACTTTCTGTATACTTTCTTCGTTTGCTTTTAAAAATTAAAATATACCTGTTTACAGTGCAACAGGAAAGGACTGGAAACGAACCCAGGACCCCTGCATCGCTGTAGTCAGGTGCTCTAACCACTGAGCTACCCAGGCCAATATCCACTGGCCAAACCATTGCAACATACAGCAATAAACTTTTGCAGTTTTTGGCTGCAAAGATTTGTGGCACATGAAAGTTGGTATACAGCAACAATTTCTATATATGCATATGGTATCCAATCAGTATTTCAGGTAAACTTGAACACTTCTATCTCTAGTTGAGTTATAAAAAAGGCTGCAATGAATTTCAAACACAAAATTTTCATATCCCTTTTGTCTAGACAAAACCTTTTCATTGCTTCTAGTGATCCAAGACTGTTTAATATCAACCTCAGATTTCTACATGTACGTTGCTTCTTATAAAACCCTGGACCTACCCAGAGAAAACATTATTATCAGGAGATAATGCCAATTTCTCTATAAGAACACACTTTTTCAAAACTTAGATTCTGTTGCTATACTTAAGGCTAACATCTACACTAAAGAGAGACTGAGTGGTTTCCCTCTCTACATCTTCACTTCAAGGTCAACTGAAATACAAATGATGGAGGAGAAAGGTAATAGATTCACTGCTGTATAAGATACACACTTGACCTTCCAGTACCTTTATTTAGATCTAAAGGGCATAATGAATCACTGCAGTGGGTCAAACTTTCTGAGACAAGGACAGAATACTAGCAAAATGGGTCACTTCCAACTCAGAGACAAATATTAATGTTCATGGGTCAGAGGTCAGTTAGAGAGACAGACCACTGTACTGATGATATTGTAACATCTATCTTAGTCATACTAGAAGGGGGACCAGGGAGAATAATTATGTCCCTAATGCCAATGGTAAGAGAAGCAAGAGAGACTGGCTATTGACACTGCAAGACCTACCTTAGCTATATTAGGAGGGGGACCGGGGAGGGAGCCTCTCCGTTTCCTCTGCTTGTTGATCATCTTTATCACTGCATTTTCATCCAGCTCATCGTCCTTAAAATGGATGACCTCGTGGTTATCCGGGATCACTTGTAGGGACATCCGACGTCCACCAGGACGGGTTTTGTTATCTTTACCAAAAAACTTCTTCATTGTGCAAAGATCTTAGGTAATCCACACGTGGAAGATAAAAATATCTGCTTCCCCTAAATATTATCACACACATGCGATATACATCCTGTATGGGGTTAATGCTGCTCCAAACAAACTTTCTTTTCCTCTGAATGAAAATTATCTTCACATTTAAATATTAGGAATGCAGTGTATACTCCTGATGTATAGAGGGCCAGGGAAAATCCCCCAGCACACACTATAATCGCCAAAGAATATTGCGTCAATCCACTAACCTGTTGCTCTCCTCTTGGCCCAAATATCTCGGAGATCTATACAAGTAATTTTACTGCACTCAAATAAAGGGCTGTCTTGACCTAGATTTCAAATCAATTTTCTTTGAAGATGCATTCAGGTTTCATATTTACAACACAAAATGTCAAACTCGCAAAGTTTTAAATCACCTCTCTTAGCATTGAAAAGTTTGTTTTCAGTCCTCGTCTACTGTTTGATTGGCAGATAAATACAAGACTATAATATTCCAACACACAAATCTATTATTAATTTATTTAGAAGGACAAGTTAATACTTTAATGCCCAACTAATTAAACCTGCCGTAAACAGTGGGGGTTTAAGTTTACAGGCAGGATCAAACCGGACAATACTTAAACAGCATGTCGATTCAGCAAATAGGACAGGATTATCTGATCTGGTATTATCAAATTTGTACAGTGTACATCGCTATACAAGTTCAATCTAGATCTTGTTTGACCACTACTGCTATCTTCCACTTGATGCAGCGTTTTATCTTAGGATCCTTTACACCTTGAAGTATATACACATGTACTCATATCAACTATAGCCTCTCCTTTAGTCACGTCAGATAAAAATTGTCACAAATCAATCGTAACAATGATACTATTCCATTAGAAAAATGAAATAACCACCATCTCATTAGCTCCAATGCAAAATACACCATCCATCCTTAACAAATTCCAAATTAGAGGTTCTGGTAAATCCGCACAGCTTGAACCAATTATAGTTAATTAATTTCTCCAGTTTAATGACAGTTGCAGGAGAATGACATAATATTGTTTGTTTACAAATACTCTGTCACTGAGCCCCCTATACTATGAGGTATTTCCAAGATGAATTATACTAAGTAGTTGCTTCCTTTCGTCACAATTTTACTTGTCTTCCAATAAGAAGTTACGTACCTTTTCCGTTATGCTGCACTTAGATTATACACACTTAATGTTAACTGCATTCATCCACTTGTATTAACAGAAACTATTTAAAACAATGTTAAATACTTCACTTCACATTAACAAATGCATGTGTTACAATATAAGCAACTCTGCATGCCTTTCATTCAAATATTGAACAATGTGTGCATACAGCACTGTGCAGTTGTGCATTTCCTAATTGCTTAAGATGGGCTGACCATGAACTTCCAATTACTTAAAACCAAACAATTCAATGTTCTTCAACACAGTATAGAATTAAGTTCCAATATTAACTCTGTAGATTTCGATCACAGCGTCATCACAGTTTTCGAGCTCTTTTAGTCTTTGATCAGCTGAGCTGGAGGGCAAAAATCACCAATCGCCTTCCAATAATTAATATCCCAGCTTCTCTTACTCCTGCTTAATGGTGCTTATTGACTACTCATTGAACAAATTAAAAGCTCGCAAAAGGTTCCTCTGAACACATTAATGTATACAGCTGTGTGCACATAATGTATTGTTGAGAATGATGTAAAGAATATAAAATTTTTAAATTCTTATTCTTTCCTTGCAGTTTCACATTAGGCAAATGAATGTTCGTCTGCCCTAGTATTCCGCACTGTTAGGTCTGGTAAATGTTCACGCCTGGCAGTAAAGAGTTAGATCTGAATTAGTGCCTGTCAATACACAGTATAGGTTTTTTTTTTTCAAACACTGAATTGCGTTGCAGTTCACTGGGCATCGACCGGTAATTTTGCAGTAGTTAATTTTGCAGCATTGAAGACCTTAGCTTGTGTGCATGTACAGACCAGAAGTTTAAAGGGGGGGGGGGGGTCTTTTAGATTTATTCAAACCACAGATACTTTCCCCAAAGGAGAGGAAGCATTGAAAAAGAAGAGACAATGGTGTATTGAATTGTGTCCAATATTACTTCTTAAGCAAATACATCCAACAGATTTATGTCTATTCACTGCAGACATAACTTTTTATTATTATGTATTGATCTACTATCGATCAGCGTTTAAAATCTTTTCTTTGCTATTCCTGTAATTTCAATGTAATTTACCATGAATCATATCATTATAAATATCTAAAGTATTACCTTTCAGTTAATCCTTTAAAAATATGATTTTCAGTTTACCTTCATTAAACAAATTTTCCTATGTTGCTATTTTTATTCATGAAAGCATAACAGAACTTGTAATACAGGCCACACCAGTTTAAATGCTTTTTCAGACTTTCAAAGTAAAAAAAAAAAAAACATGGGATCGAGTTGAGTGAAATTATTTAAAAAACAAAACATAGTATATCATGAACAATATATGTCTACAAACACACAAATGCACCCTGAACATAACTTAGTTGCCACTGAAACAAATTTGACCCTGACCTTAAAACTAATCATAGTTACGGGTCATGACTTATTCCCTAATCACCATCAACATTTGTGCCACATGTTAGGCCATTGTTTATATATTGTAATTTTGACTAGATATTACTCCATTACAGGATTTGAGATTATAATAACAGCTCTTTATATCAACATTTTTGTTCCTAATATTTCTCCATTGCAGTTACTAGCAAGACGAGAATTTCAAACTTTTACTTCCTGTGTCAATACCTCTGTATTAAATAAGTAGTCCCTCTTTACTTCATAAGATATTTAACAGACAAGGAGACAAGTACAACAAGGTCAAAGATCAAAAGTTCAATATGTCACAAAGTAAATCACTTAATTTCACCAAGACCCCTAAACCCCTAAAAAATAAATGTGATGATTGTTGATAACTGCAATTAACTAATACTAGATGAAATCCCGCGCAAGCGCAGGGAATTGAATCTATACTACTACCGACAGAAAATATTTTGTACTTTCTACTGACAGCCTACAGGCTTATAGCAGGAAGAAATACTTTGTTCAAAATCTCGCTTGAAGTAAATGTGCGTCTCCACCCCCACCCCCCTTTGTAAAACTTGAAAATTAACAATTTCATTAATTGACGTTTATTGTGAAACCTGTTATACTATGTTATGGATATTGTACTTCAGATACTCTTATTTCATTTCCGTCAAGTATAAAAGCACTGAATCTGCACATTTTACTGGTAAATTGATTTGGGGGGAAGGGGGGGGGGGGTCAAAATCCACTGGTACTTGGGTCTTGGTTTATAAATATGTTTATACATTACTGATATTTAAATAATGTACTATACTTTTTTACATATCAATAAGGTACGTACATATTTATAAACCAAGACTCAAGTACCTGTGTAAAATTAGCTTTTAACGCCCTATAAATAGGCCGAGTATTTGATACAAAAGACTGTTTTCAAAAAAAAAAAAAAAAAAAAAAAAAAGCACAAAATTTTACATCTTTAATTGTTTTTGTACAATACCTTATTCATTAATTTTCTCTTTACATGTAAGCAAGTTTATTACGAAGTACAAATTGTACTTCGGGTTCGTTGCCACGACGCTCTCAGTAAGGAATATATACAAATTTTAACGATAAATTTATTAGGAAAACCTACTACATACATGTATATATATAGGTAATGGTCTTTCGATATATAAATATATTCACAACTTATAGTGTTATCAATGATTTTAATTACCATTATTTCAATGACCATTCACACAAAAGCTTTTTTCAGCTATAAGCGCCTCGGTTTTTTTAACATCGGACTCGATGCTATATGATGTTCTAGAAGCTTCCGTCAATATTAAGATCGGTGAATGACGAAAATAATTTGCATATTTCCCTTTTCAATCGGTTATCAAAACTTATTTCTTTTATATAATTTAAATCAAGTTTTGATTGAATAATTCAGTGATGGCGTTTTATGAAATAAATAAACGATTGCTTGTTGTCAGTTTCATTAAAAATTGCCAGTAACTTAGATCCGCCAACCGGAAACGCCACCGTACTCACGTTTTTGCTATTTCATGGCTGTTTATAGAAAATAAAAGTAGACTTTTAATTTAATGTACGATTCTTACTATGCAAGAGAAATCTAAATATAGTTTACGGACATTATCTTGTATCTAGTGTATTGTTAGAGGAGTAAGTAAGAACTCTGGTGCACCCGTTTCGGAGTTTATTTGCAAAATTTATTAATTTATAAGTATAGATATGTGTCATCTTTTATTTGCAATTTGACAGTTTGAAATCAATTTGTGATGATTTTTTTTTGCAACCGAAAAAATATTTTCTACAAATACACTGCAAAATAACTGGTTTGCAGTGATAAATATCTGCGGGTTAAAGGACGCCAAATTCGCAGATATTTCTCGCACACGAATAAAAGTTGGTTTACAGTATCAAATTTTATAGAAGCTAGCATTTATTATATGCATGCTATAAAAACATTATTTCAATTTCATTCATAACATACATAGAGGATTATATTCATTAATTTAATAATTGTGAGATTGAAAATATTGTAAACATTAGATTTGGAGATACTTCGGCAGTTTAAGTCTCGGTCAGGATTGTCTACTTACTCTATCTTATAACAGGCCAGAGAGTGCTTAATTATTACAACATTCTTTGTGAAGGGAAAGAAAATCAACATGATCAAGTGTAAAAATTTTGCCGCACTTCTGATATTCTAGCTGTCACACAAGCTGTGGCAGAATATCACTTGATATTCCTTCACACTGTGACAGGATATCACCTTTTTTCAATTATAAATTACAGTATTTCACAGTTGAAAATGTAATAAAAGAAACAATTCAAATACTAAGAATATAAAGTCTCATGTATATTGCACTTTTTTGTGGGAGCTGACAATAAAACTTTTGAATTCTTTATCCCCTAGCTCCCCTTTACATATATGCTTAACTCTTTGAACTTATATTAACACTATATATTAACACAAATTTAGTTCCTTTTATCTCACCATTAATACACTGATAGTCATAACACACACAGTAAAGGGTCTCTGAGACATTACAGACTTTCAGATTTGTTAACTGTACATCAATTTCCACTTCCATGTTTTAAAGTACTGTAAATCACTTTTTATTCGCAAGAATTTTATTTTCGCGTAATTACGCGAGACAGTCTGCCCGTGAAAATGTCATTCCCACATATATTTTCTTAAGCATAGAGTATATACTACAATAACCAGTATTCATGAAAAATTTGCCTCGTCTATGCATACCAAATACCCATCTCAGGAAAATAAGGGGTCGCTAAAATTTGGTGATCCAGTACTGTACATCAATTTTTTTTTTCAATGAGGGTTCATAAAAAATAAAAATAACTTTATTCAAAAATCGTTGAGGATATCAAAAGCAACATAAAGGATGTGGCAAAATTTCCTAGACTCCGTAAAACAACTTGAACACTCTAACTTCTCCTGGCACTTGACCTCAAAGAGACATTAATTTTATAAATGACATCCATATTATAGGTCTATACAAATTATGCAAAGTCATAATTCTTTTGTTCAACCCATTTCTTCCATTAATTAGGTTTTCCAAAGTTAACTCTATGTTTAAAACCTGTGCATTATTTCAGATAAATTACTGTTTTGAAAAAAAGGAATGATTCCCT